TCGCATACCGTTGTACGGGCTGGGCTTTCACCACTTACTAAATGCCGAAGTGGCACACAGCCTACCAGCATGAAAAACGCTTTACTCATAGATAGAAATGGCCGTATTCTCGAGCCAGCGTTTTGCAGAATTCAAAAGGCCTGCTAGCCTTACTTCGTGTAAAATTCCAGTTTGATGCCGTTGCACTCAGTGACTCACCCTTCCGGGAAAAGTATGACATTTTTTTCTGTTTTCTTTGTGTTTAAAAGGTTGAACTCAATGAGCTATGACTCATGCACTCATTATGCTGGCATCAGTGAAAGGTTTTATTTAAGAAATCAGCAATGAAAAGAAATTGCCATATGGGCCTTGTCGCCAAGTGGATTTCATCCCACCTACCTGCATGTTTCTTTAGATCCTAACGAAAATTCAACATGCAGAGAAACAGGACCAAAAAGCTCCGAGTGCTGCTAACTGGGGGGAGGGGGGCACCTGTTGTCAATGTTTATCTGTAAAACTCTGGTGGCTAGTATATACAGCGGTATTCTAGGCACAACATGGCTGTGACTGAACAAGACATCAAAGTTTCACAAAAGATATGTCGACCAATAATAGTCGCGAAGAAAGGCGTATAAAGCTGATAACATCGTTTGGAAGGAAACAATTAACACCATAATTTTACGTCAACCAGGTAAAAAAAGCTTGATATGAAACAGTAAAGCGTGCCAAATATATAAAAACAGTATATCTTGCATAAGTATTATTGAGGTAGTACATTATAAATAATTAACATTCGATGCAAGTCTTGTAAAGTTGATGTTGTGGATGATGATCATCATCCACAACACACTTGATGGCTCAAGATTTACTCCATGGTGCGGCATAAGGCAGTCGTCGTTCGTGATATCTATTTTAAAGACACTAGCCAGTATTAAGGGACCATTCTGGTCTCTTGTATCATATAGTCTCGCACTGCTATACTGGTGTATTTTGCTGGGATGCGTCGACAAACATTTAGGGTCGCGTACATTGCAATTGTTGAGTAGCCTGTTCGAAGACCTGCTTGTTCCTTTGGTTGATTGAATTCTAATGTTTTCTTAACTCTGTTAGGAATAACCTTTGTAAATAGCTTGTATACTACAGAGAGCAAGCTGATCGGCCTGTAATTCTTCAAGCCCTTCTCATCTCTTTCCTTATGTATTAAGATGATGTTAGCGTTCTTCCAAGAGTCTGGTACTCTTCCCGTCAGGAGACACCTCGTAAACAGGGTGGCTAGTTTTTCTAACACTATCTGTCCTCCACCTTTCAGCAGATCTGATGTTACCTGTTCCTCACCAGCAGCTTTGCCTCATTCATACTATAAATCAGGCAATAGGAAAATGCTCAGAATATAACCAACCACTATAGATAGCCTTCCTAGATTAAGAGAAGGCGTTCGATTCAGTATAAATATCAGCCGTCATGCACACACTGCGGAATAAAAGCGTTGATGAAGTATATATAAACATCCTGGAAGAAATCTACAGGGGATCAACTGCTACCATAGTGCTTCATAAAGAAAGCAACAGAATACCAATCAAGAAGGGTGTAAGGCAGGGAGACACAATCTCCCCAATTCTATTTACCGCGTGCTTACAGGAGGTTTTCAAAAGCCTAGACTTGGAACAGTTAGGGATAAGAGTTAATGGAGAGTACCTTAGTAACCTGCGCTTCGCCGATGACATTGCATTGCTGAGAAACTTTGGGAACTAATTGCAACTCATGATTACGGAGTTAGACAAGGAGAGCAGAAAGGTGGGTCTTAAAATGAATCTGCAGAAAACGAAAGTAATTTACAACAACCTCGGAAAAGAGCAGTGCTTCGAGATAGGTAATAGTGCACTTCAAGTTGTAAAAGACTATGTCTACTTAGGGCACGTAATAACCGCGGAGCCGAACCACGAGATTGAAGTAACTAGAAGAATAAGAATGGGGTGGAGCACATTTGGCAAGCACTCTCAAGCTATGACAGGTAGATTGCCGCGGTCCCTAAAGAGGAAGGTATATAACAGCTGTATCTTGCCGGTACTTAGCTACTAAGCAGAAACCTGGAGACTTACAAAGAGGGTTCAGGTTTAATTGAGAACGCCGCAGCGAGCAATGGAGAGAAAAATGGTAGGTGTAACCTTAAGAGACAAGAAGAGAGTAGAGTGGATTAGTGAACAAACTAGAGTTAAGGATATCATAGGTGAAATCAAGAAGAGGAAATGTACATGGGCCGTGCTTGTAGCGCGTAGACAGGATAACCGCTGGTCATTAAGGGTAACTAACTGGATTCCCAGAGAAGGGAAGCGGGTTAGGGGGACACAGAAGGTTAGGTGGGCAGGTGAGATTAATAAGTTTGCTGGTATAAATTGGCAGCAGCAAGCACAGGACCGGGTTAACTGGCGGAACATGGGAGAGGCCTTTGTCCTGCAGTGGACGTAGACAGGCTGATGATGAGGATGATGATGGTGATGATGACATTGTCATTCGAATGGTTTCATTTGATAGTTTTATTGCACCATGCTCGCACGCAGAGCCAGTCTCGCGATCTAAGCTTAACGTAGTCGCTTGAGGTTTAGTGGGGATCCACTTGTAGTCCATGTCGGGGTCATTTTGTATCGCCTCGTTTACCATTCGTCTCGAACGAAGGCAAGCCAGCTCTGGAACGCTCTTAGTCTTCGTCGTAATAAGCCACAACACAAAGTAACACGCAATGCCTCACCGACGTGTAGCGGGTACCTCGCTTACATCAGAAATATGCATGGCATAGTGGCATAATGAGTGCTTCATTGTCATCGTCATGACGTATAGCGCGTACCTTGAATGTGTTGTGCTGTGCTGACAGGAACAGCCTGGAACGCGCTTGTTATTTATCTTCGTGAGCGTCATCGTCATCGAGGTACGACGGCGGACAAGACTTGACCCTAAGGAGTTTTTCCCATATTTATAAGTAGTCAAGCAACATTAGGAGGCTGTGGCTGCTGGAAAATATGGTGGTGCGAATTCACTGGGACGTCCAGGGGCACAAACCCGCAAGGAGGGGCGGAAACTTTTTCTTTAGACTATCGTGCCTTTACCTCTCTAAGCGTCATCCGGCCACCTACAGCTTCCATATCCCATCGCACTTCTTACCGAGACCGCAGCAGATATGGCAGCGTGAATTTACTGCGACACTCCCACGAAAACGCCGGGATGGCTTTTTTTTCATCAAAACCCGCTTCTCTTCTCTGCTCCCAACTCATTGCCATTAAGTAGAACTTTTTGCGGTGCCTTCAAAGGATAGAACCTCCTCTCCACACCTTCCACACACAAACACGCTGAAAAGGGATCTTATTTACGTACAAAGTATGCTCAGCAGACACCATGCACTTTTTACGACCAGCAGCAGCCTTTGAGGCACGGAAACACCGGCGGCAACGGTAAACACTACGCATCGTGCTGGGCGTTGTCTTCGACGAAACATTTACTCACACCGGGCATTTGCTATAACTCTACCGCTCCTCGCAAATGAATGAAGAAACATTCACGAGCTCGCCGGTGGTTTGTGTATACTAGACCAGGTCGCCTCCCCGCCAACGTGGTCCAAAAACTACTCTACATAGCTCTTCTGAAAACTGAGAGTTTGGAGTCGTTACCAAGGTAGTGCAACCCGCCTTTCAGAAGAGTCTTCTTCAACTTCGCTGTATATATATACAAAATAAGGACTATGGAGAACGCCTACGAAATGCTTGGCGTGTGTAAAGGGGTAAACTAGAGAATGTCTAAACAAGCTTGTTGCTAGGCCAGTTGGTGCATATTAAATTCAGGGAAGAGGCGCCACACTGGACAAACGGAAAGATGTGGGAATAACTACAAGTGCACAGTACCAATTTGTTTATGTTCGAAAAACCACTCTTTATATTTAACAGTACAAAACATGCTCAGAGCCCTAACATCAAAACCACCCAAGTCAAAAATAAAGAAATTCATGGTTGTGCAAGATGGTCTATGGTGCGCACAACTATTACCCGGAACCATCAAATCCTGGCCCCGGCGGCCACATTCTGGATGGAAGCGAAAATACTTGAGGCCCCGTGTGCTTAAGGGTTTAGGGGCACGTTAAAGAACCCCAGGTGGTCGTAATTTCTGGAACCCGGAAATTCCGTCATAGCCGGCGTCCGTCATAAATATAGCGTGGTATAGCGTGGCTTTGGCAGGGTGAACACCAATATATATTATTTCGGGAACATTAACGCGTGTGGACATGCAGTGCATCTTTTTTTTTACGTTTTGTTCGGACCATGTGTGTCTTGTTTCTCATAATGTAGGCTTATTGCGTTACCTTTTCGTGCAATATGTGCATGTGTATTGAATGACAGAATGTTCACTTGAAACATTTCAACTATTTATCAGGATAGTCGAGTGTGACGTCTTCCCCGATATTTGTAATACTATAGAATAATAGCGAGTACTTGATATCAGGTGTTTATTTATATATAGCGGGGGGTATGTCTCTGTAAGCAGAAGAGATGGCGCATCAACAAATACAGTTCAAATTGACGGTCGCTTTCCGGTCTTCAATTGTTTTCTGCGCTAGGTATTCTGCTTAGCGATGACCAAACAACACGCCCAAAACCTATCATTTTCTGGGAGGCGTCACACAATGCATTCATTGGTCATGTAGTTCAACTTTCTCTGTCGGTCTTGCACGGTGCATCAGTGGTTACAGTGCTCGGCTGCTGACACGAATGTCCGATCGGCGCGACGCTCGTCGCGATTCAGTGAAACGGTGCTAACCCGCGTATTGTGCGATGTCACTGTGCGTTGAACAGTGCCAGGAGGTTAAAGTTTTCTCAGCACTCCACCACAGTGTCCATCATAATCATATCGTAGTTCTGGGACGCAAAATCCTCGAGACACAGAACTTGATGTCATTAGTCAAGGATGTGCTTTTACAGTCGCAGTCGGGTCTTCACTGCTTCTGTAGCTGAACCCCGTCCTCGACGTTCTTTGTGCAGGGGTGTCCTCATCAAGCAGCAACGGGGCGGGAGTAAGAGGAAAAAGAGGAGGATGGCCGAGTCTACGTCACAGGATGCTCTCGCCTCCGGTGGCGAAGAGGAAGAGGAGGAGGACCCGGACTTTGAGGAACTGCGTCCTCCCGAGGTGGACCCGCTGGCCGAACTGCTGGACCACGACGGGGAGAAGTGCGTCATCCAGGGAGATGGGGGAGACAAGATGAACGGTGAGGAATGGTTTTTTTTAATAAAATATTTTTTGTAACTGCGTGGCACTGTAGGGGCTTGGTTTGACGTTCATCCACAGTGTCATGTAAGTTGGATGGTTGGTGAAACGGTCGATTCTTTTTTATTTATGAGACTGTTGAGTAAAGCCAATGATAGAAAAGAGTTGACCATGAATCCCCCCTCCTTTTCGAAACTTTTTTTTGAAATCTATGTAGTGCCAGTAAGCACCATTGTGGCTGAACGATTGCACCGCCGCTCTTCCCTCCGTTCCCTTTATCAAACATTGTAGCAAACTTTGACGGTCTGATTGAGTATGACGTCATATCTTCTCGCCCTTTCTTGTTGCACGGTAGTGTTGCCGCACGGAGGGACGTGCTTCTCGTTCTCGCGAGTTCACGAGCCGAGCTGCAGCCTGTTGACGCCCAACCGGCTGCTCACACTGCCCGACTGCCCCATCGAGGTGAAGATCGTCAATGTCGAGCGGGACCACAGCAGCACGCACATCCTCTACCCAAACCTGTAAGGACAAAAACGCCTTTGCTTACAATGTATAAGGCATGAGCTTAGCGTTGTCTCACGTATGTCATTTTAAAGGGCCAGTCAACAGGCTCCGACTTTTTTTACACCCCCCAAACGAGCTCGAGCATTTTCCCTACGCCTGACCAACCTTCTTCCTCGCGCAGTGACGTCAACTCGGCGATTGGTGACGTTGAATTTATTACTGTTTTTATGGTTCATTACTGTTCATTGCGGTGACTTCATTACCTGGTTTAAACCAATCGACGAGCTGCGTACTGCGTCACGTCGCCGATCTTCTAGTTTACGTCACTGCACGTGGTACCAGGTTGGTCAGGCGTAGGAAATATGCGAGAGCTTGTTTTGGAGGTATAAAAAAATTACAGCGTATCCACGAGGCGAATGGTGACGAGCGAGGCGAAGCGGTTGGATGGACTGACGGACGAACGCACGGACGCACGGAATCACGGACGAACTTACGGACGCTTCGCCCCACTCATCTTCATTAACTCCTTGGATATGCTGTGACAGCGTTTTTATTGACATGCAATGCAATGCTACCGGCGACTATGACCACTAACTACGACGACACGGGACATACGACCCACGGCGTAAGGGTCTTCACCCCTAAATGTCAGACCCTCTTGACTGGCCCTTTGAAGGGACAGACATATTTGCTGTACGGCGCTAGAGAATCCAATTAAAAAAGAGGTTGTGGGACAGAGCACTAACAACTGATTTATTTGCACAAAAATGCAAGTGTAAGCACGTGCGCCTGCGCAGAAGATATGTTGGCATCAACAGGCATGACGCAAGGCGTGTTCAATAAAATTTGTCTCATGGTTGTTCAATGCTATGCGAATGTAACTAATGAACATGTCACTTTTTTTTGCTTCAATCTATAGAATCTATAGAACTTTAAGCGCGCCCGAGCTTCGACTGGACGAGGAGGCCCCGCCACGGTGGTCTGGTGGCTAAGGTACTCAGCTGCTGACCCGCAGATCGCGGGATCAAATCCCGGCAGCGGCGGCTGCATTTTTTATGGAGGCGAAAATGCTAAGGCCCATGTGCTCAGATTTCAAGGCATGTTAAGGAACCCCGGGTGGTCAAAATTTCCGGAGCCCTCCACTACGGCGTCTCTCATAATGATATGGTGGTTTTGGTGCGTTAAAGCCCACATATCAATCAATCATTCAATAATTCTCGAGCTGTTTCATCTCTACTTCCGGCTATATTCTGCACGTCAGAAAGGCGTGGTCCACAAGAGCTGGCAGCGCAATTCCCAATATGCTTAGGCAAATTTTAACCTTTATCATTTCGCTCAACACTTTGTTCACTTCGTTAAAGCGACGTTTAAATGAATCAATTCACACTTGTGGCTTCAAACACACGGCCCGTGGAGTGTTTGCCAGCGGCCTTGTGTGCTTCGAAGTTTTTCACGGATGAAAATTGTACAAGAACAGTGGATGCAGTACAGCGTTGATAACTAAATAAAACAGTTTGTCATTCTGTGACGCTTTCGCGGTATTTTATTGTGATTTATCTGCAGTCATGCCACCTACGCGCGCGTTAACATTGCGGTGAAATACCTGGTGGGAAGAGGGGCGCAGAAGTCAGGAGCTTGAACAGCTTCGCTATCAAGAATTTGATAGTTGTTTACTCTACGTTTCGGCCGTGCCAGAAGCAGGTGGTCTTCGTTAGCCTTCGACATGATTTAGACGAATGCATAAAAAAACAAAGGACCTTGTTCATGCAATACAATTGTGCTGGAGGCCTTCCTTCAGCAGATGAGCTTTTTTACGTTTATTTTTTGTTACCGCTTGGGATGATGGCCGGAACGTGTGAACAAATTACACTGGATTGAAGTAGAGGCCGTACTTAGCTAGCCACTTTGTGTGTGCCTGTTACATAAAACACGTAAAGCGAGGACACTCTTGGTGAATATATGGACATGTTTACTGATAATACCCTGATTCTTCAGTGCGCCTGGATTTTGTGGAAACAGTATTCCTATATGAAGATACCGTCGGCCGCCAACGTTGCACCATCAAAACCCTTGCGTGCGACTATCACACCACGCCCTCAAGTGTGAGGCCCGAGGGACGGCTTCATACTATCTCATGGTAGAGTACATGGAACTGTTAATCGTTAAGCGATTTTTTTAACTCAGACATTGTGAGGCACATTGGACGGCTTTCTGCTCTCTCACGGTATATAGTACTCGAATTTGTTAAGAACTTTTTCTAAACACTCGATTTATATTCAAACTTTTTTATGGGCAGGCTGGGCCTCTTCACCAGTTGTCTCTGTGTCACTCAAGCTCAGCGTGAATATAGTAAAGGACTTCATGAAACGCAAGTGTTACATAAGCGTGTAGTATTCCAGCTATTCTTCTAGTGCCGCCATTTATGCATCACCCTCGAAGTAAAGATATAGCGCCACCTAGTTGCGTTTCCGAATCGATATTTCGATACGGAAACGCGAGGTAGGTTCGATCACTATCGACTGGGCTGGTTCCGTATCTGTCGTGGCCCAACAACACAAGCGCACGTATGTGGGCTGAATGCGGGCTGAATGCGTGGCCCATATTCAATATGAAGGTATCAACGACACCACAAATCGCCAAAATAAGGGATGTCGCAATGAAGCCATGTGGTATTATTGCAGATCACCACTATTACAAAGGCGGCTTGATCGTGGACGCAGTTCAAAACCACGCTAGAGGTAGAAAACTTTCGAGGGAAGAGGGGGTGGAATCAACACTATCGACTGAGAAGAAGAAGAAACAGTAAACAATATGAAGGTGGCTTTGACCTGTGTGTTAAGAAAAAGTGGTTGACAATTTAGAGTAGTTGGTACTCTTCTAAGGGAGAGCATAAAGCCGTCCAGTAGGCCTCACCCTTGATGAGGCCGTCTCTAAAAAATTACGCCACGAACGAGTTCGCGATGGCATAATCATAGTTACCGCCAAGCACTGCAGTCCTCTTAAGTGAATGCACACGACACTGCGTCAGTTCTGCAGAGAGGCGAACATGTGTACCTCTTAAGAATTCGTGTTCTTTTGCCGGCCTCATGGTGTAACTTTAATATCTCAACTGGAACATGGATGACAAGACGACCGGGACAAGCGCCAATCATCAACTCCTTATTTATTTTTGGCATTCCCCATATATGTGACTGAAACAGTAAAAAAAAAACGCCAGGCCTGCGTGGAAGGCGCAGCACAGTCACAGTGAAAGCGAGACGAGCGGCTTTTAAGAGACTTTTGTAAACACTCATTGTGTAACTACGGCAAATCTTTCTTCATACCCACTGGGTAATTACTAATAAACTTATTTGGGTAGTAGGCAGGCATTCGCTGCACTCTAAGCCACAAAGAACAAAATGGGGTCTGTGGTTCGTCCTTTTGCGGGGGTAACTACATTGCCACAACCATTACTCGACAAGGGATGAACGATTAGTCATTTCGGGGGTACCTGTCGGGGGACAAACCTCAGCAGTTTTGAGGGACGCAATGTCAAAGAGTAATAGTTACCCCTTTATGGAAGAACGTGACTACGTAGGGACGAACTGTTAGTCTCATCAGGTACTCCTTTCTTTTTTTGAAAAAAAAATCAATGTAATAAAATTTCTGGCTGAATCATCGTGAACGTAGAGGTTGAAGAACGCGTTTCACGACATATACATCATCATCATCATCGGCCTGACTACGTCCACTGCAGGACAAAGGCCTCTCCCATGTAACGCCAGTTAACCCGGTCCTGTGCTTGCTGCTGCCAATTTATACCCGCAAACTTCTTAATCTCATCTGCCCACCTAACCTTCTGTCTCCCCCTAACCCGCTTCCCTTCTCTGGGAATCCAGTTAGTTACCCTTAATGACCAGCGGTTATACTGTCTACGCGCTACATGCCCGGCCCATGTCCATTTCCTCTTCTTGATTTCAGCTATGATATCCTTAACCCCCGTTTGTTCCCTAATCCACTCTGCTCTCTTCTCGTCTCTTAAGGTTACACCTACCATTTTTTCTTTCCATTGCTCGCTGCGTCGTCTTCAATTTAAGTTGAACCCTTTTTGTAAGCCTCCAGGTTTCTGCTCCGTAGCTAAGTACCGGCAAGATCCAGCTGTTATATACCTTCCTTTTGAGGGATAGTGACAATCTACGTGTCATAACTTGAGAGTGCTTGCCGAATGTGCTCCAACCCATTTTTATTCTTCTAGTTACTTCAATCTCGTGGTTTGGCTCTGCGGTTATTACCTGCCCTAATAGTCTTTTACAAATTTAAGTGCACTATTACCTATATCGAAGCGCTGCTCTTTTCCGAGGTTGTTGTACATTACTTTCGTTTTCTGCAGATTAATTTTAAGACCCACCTTCCTGCTCTCCTTGTCTAACTCCATAATCATGAGTTGCAATTCGTCCCCTGGGTTACTCAGCAATGCAATGTCGTCGGGGAAGCGCAGGTTACTAAGGTACTCTCCATTAACTCTTATCCCTAACTGTTCCCATTCTCAGGATTTCGAACAGGCTACTCAACAATTGCCCGCATGCATAATATCAATCAGTTAATAGAGAAATGCTCAGAATATAACCAACCACTATACATAGCCTTCATAGATTACGAGAAGGCGTTTGATTCAGTAGAAATATCAGCCGTCATGCAGACACTGCTGAATCAGGGCGTAGATGAAGTATATGTAAACATTCTGGAAAAAATCTACAGGGGATCAACTGCTACCATAGTGCTTCATAAAGAAAGCAGAAGAATACCAATCAAGAAGGGTGTAAGGCAGGGGGACTTAATCTCCCCAATGCTATTTACCGCGACATATACAATCAATGCACAAGAAGTAAATTCGGAAATGAGCTGCATAAAATTCGCAACGAATTCACAGGATTCAAACTCCTGAACATTGTTTCGGCAGTCGCGTATGTTAACCACTACACCACACCACATTTCATAGCAGAGTTAAACATACCTGGGCATATGTAGCACCGTCTGAACACTACGCGTTCTGCCATGTTGCTCAAACTGTAAAAGATTCCTTATATTGGACTTAAGTCTTCAGTGTTTGGCAAGCAACTATTCGGTTATCACGTTCTTGAAAATGTGCAATGCGTTGAATAGGTATTTCTGCTCGCGTGGTTCGGGTGCATTTGCGTGCTGAATTTGCGTGCTGGATTAATGTTCCTGTATATGTTGGCGTCGCTGGGTCAATCTTGCTCGCTTCTTATAGTACAGAGCGCGGTTGGTAATGCCGTTCAACGGAAATGTCGGCTTAATGACAAAGAAAACAACGAAAACGTTTAGAGAAACATCCAAGTTTACTATGCGACTCGTGTGAATTCTCCACCATCGGGCGCAGGCGTCAATTCAGCAACTTTTGTGAGTGCAAATTATATTATAGCTCACCTGCGCTCTCGGAGAGATAATTAAAATAACAATGCTTCATTAGAATGGATGCTGTCCATGCGACTTAAGGAAGTGCAACCGCCCCATCGGCACCTGCTGATAGCGTGTTCGTTGCTGCAAGATAATGACTTTGCTTGGAAGGCGCAACGCTTTCAGTCATCGATGTCCTGAAAAAGTAATTACAGAAACATTCATTATTTTCGACAGAACTGTTCGTGCACTTGTATAGTTTCGTCTAATTGCGTTAAAATTAGAGAAAAACTGCTGTTTCACAGAACCCATCATAATACAATGGAACAGCTCAAAATGTGTTGTGAAGTCCAAGAAGCCCACGTACTTATCGATTTTTTAGAGATGAAAAATTAAAACATACCTAGCATCGCTACAAACGAGCGAAATTGCCGGCGTAGTTAGCGGTGCCAAGCCAAGCTGTTTTTGTTATAAAAGATGACAATGTGTGAAATTCATGTGATCGTTTGCCTTTTTTAAGTACGAAAATCTCTCATGAGCAATGCTTATTTGTGTTGGACTGAAAGCAAAACAATTTATGAACAGCTGTGCTTGCAACAGGTAATCGCTACCATGTTTCGATGACTCAGCCATCACATTTGTAATTCTACAGCAGACGGGGCAGCACTTGCAACGCTGTGTAGCGCGAGCTCATCAATCATGCGGGTTTCGTTCGCGAAGAACGTGAGTGTTAAACAAACAGTGCTCGTTACATATCGACAGAACGTTGGTAAATCTCGCGGGGTGATGGCAGTCTTGTTGACACTCACCTTTCAGGCGATATTCGCGTCGGCGCGTGGTATTTCGATAGCGTATACCACTTCATTCCAGTAGCAGGTCATGTTTCTTAGAGCGCAAAGATTGTTCAGTGCACCACAACAGACAGCAATCACAACCACGTAGCGATAACACATCCACAACAAACAGCTAGACTAACGAGGGTTAGCTTGCCAAGAATACCACGCTGCGCATTGATACAGCTTAAGCGCAAGCACTCTTTTTTTTCTTTTATGAGGACGGAGGCTTCGACATTTGCTCTTATTTATGCTACACAAATATTAGTACTTTGCTCCTGACGTAGTTTCCGTAGTTCTCATGACCATTTAAACTAACTCAAGCGGTTAACAGCGTATTTATTCAGAGAACTATTTGCTTACGCGCATGCTGACCATTCCTTCGAGGCCACCGCTGCGCCGGCGAATTCCACGAGAGTGAACGTTGCTCCGCATGGTCTAACAGTTCCTCCCTCTGCTTGCACACGGCACTCTCGTCTTGTAGGTTAACCCCACCACGAACTAACTGTTGGTTGAAGGGACGAAATGTAGCACTTACTCTTATTTCACTCCCTTTTCGCTCCTTTGCTGCTTAGAGTGTATGTTATTTTTCGTCATTCTTCTGAGAAGCGTGGTGTCTGCCAAACACTTGCACGGGGTTTTGGGCTAATTGTTCATGCAGTGGCCGACAACAATAAGAAATTATGGCTGAAGTGGGTATGTGCCACAGTTAATAGAAAAAATGAAACAAGCTTTTGTGATGGGTAGGAGCATTGGACGGCCCACTTGTTACGCTATTCGCATTAGGCGACAACTAGTTGTTTTTCGCTGTAAAACACTTTACAAGTCGTACTAACGTGATTGCTTTCCCGACATCAGAGACTGTCGAAGGCAAGTTTGACAACTAGTCACAAGCACCGGTATAGCTCAGCCGTAGAATACTGGGCTGACAACCAGTGGATCCGGGCTCGAGCCCCACTGTGTCATTGGTCTTAGGTTACGGACACCGCCAGCAGCGAACAACTGCACGTTACCCGAGTTGTGATCTTTTAACAGCATTTGCTGTAAAAAAAACGCAAGTTGCTAACAAATATTAGTTAAATGGATATCTGCCCTTGGTGCATGAGGTGAATAGTAGTTTCATTAGTCATTCACGCCATTTGTCAGGAACTTGAGCTCGTTATCTATGAGAGCAATGGACGGTTTGCTGACACAGTTGTCAGCTTCCCGTGCCATTCTCTCGGCTTCAGTGATTTACGGGTACGATCGTTTTCGCACTTGTGCATTACAACTTTGCTTTCAAACCGCAAGGGAAGTTCAAATCTTGAGTAGGTCGTGAATTACCGATAAGCACAATCATTCGCATTTGTATATCTGAAAGCTCGTTCGCACTTGCTACTAGCACAGGCCGCGTGACCAAGTTAGCCAAATGACTGCTTTGGTCGTGGTGCGACGTTTTGACGTCTCTGGCGGCTTGATTTTTCAGTCGCGAACATCTCAACCAGTCAGATGCGCTAAAACAGAAATTCATATTACTTTGTGGGGACAGCAGTGAAAAAATGTGTGAGTTTGAAGTGCCGATGGGTATAAATTGCTCGCAAGTGCGAACGTTGGTCGCATATAGTGACTAAGTCAGTCGCAAAACAGTCGCGCCGCCTCTGGGAGCCGCAGGTGTGAACGAGCCTTTACCGCATGACCGGTCTTGTTGTATACGGAACGCCTCGCCGCGGTGGTCTAGTGGCTAAGGTACTCGGCTGCTGACCCGCAGGTGGTGGGATCGACTCCCGGCTGCGGCGGCTGCATTTCCGATGGAGGCGGAAATGTTGTGGGCCCGTGTACTCAGATTTGGGTGCACGTTAAAGAACCCCAGGTGGTCGAAATTTTCGTAGCCCTCCACTACGGCGTCTCATAATCATATAGTGGTTTTGGGACGTTAAACCCCACATATCAATCAATGTTGTATACGGAACATGGAGTCCTCACATTAACTGCAGGCATGGGTCGGCAAAAAAACTTTGCCAGTCACTTAAACACGTCGGCGAAGTATATATTGGCTTTAGGGTTGACTTATTCTCAGCACTCGCTAAAAGTTTTACCTCAAGCGGTTTCACTCGGAGTCAGATTCGCCAAATTTTTCTCAACTGGACTCACTCGGACTCAAACACACCAAATTATTACTAGTACGTACTCACTCAAACCCGAAATCAGGGCTCGATCTGAGTCTGTGTGAGTCGATTCACGAGTGACTTTGCCGACGTATGGTTGGCAGTCATCGCCCGCCTTCGCGTTTTCATCTCTTTATTGTGCCGTGTTCACACCGTCGACACCTTCTCTGCGATTCATTTGTACACAACACTGCGTCCTCTGCAGGTACGTGATCGAGCTTCGTCACGGAGACTTCCAGTGGTCCATCCGGCGCCGGTATAAGCACTTCCAGCAGCTCCACCAGCAGCTGCAGATGTACCGCGCCGCCATGTCCATCCCTCTGCCCACCAAGAAACACCGCGAACGGCGGCGTAGCTACCGCGAGGACAACGCGCGCCGGCCGCTGCCCCGCTTTCCGAAAAAGCCCGAGAGTCTGCTGTCGCAGGAAGAGGTCCAGCAGAGGGCGGTGAGTGGAGACTCGGCCTTGTCCCGTGATCATGAACGTCGCCAATGTTTTTTCTGTTTTGTTTTGTCTCAACTGACTTGCATTCATTTGGGAGAACGTAAACGCACGAACGGGAGACAGTAATTTGGTGAGCAGACGAGATTAAGGAGTTGGCGTGTACAACGTGGGAGTAGCAAGCGCAGGAACTAGTTGATTGGTGGAACATGGGTGATGCCTTTGCCCTGCAGTGCACATATTCAGGTTGACAATGATGAAGATGATGAACTGGCTTGCGGTGGAGAGGCTCGGGTTGAAATCACCTGGGCTACTCCGTTTGTATAGGTCCTGCAGCAAGAAAGAAAATAAGTAACATTGTTACCAAATGTCGAAAATTAACAAGAAAAAAACAGAAAACTGTAGCAGGCGTAAAACGTTACATGGTGACGTACTATCAGCGTCCAGTGAAACGCAAACAGCGGCAAACATTAGCGATTGTATAATGACGTGGCCGCTAGGTCGAAAGAAATGGGATAGCGCACAGCGTCCGGTCATCACCACTGACAGGCACGCACATCAGAATTGGCAGCGCTGAGCGATCCGCTTATAGGGCAGTATTTTCGCTTTTGTTATATAGTTCTCACAAGGTGACATGGTCATTAGGGTGGCCTGCAGCGTGGCGGTGCAGGGTGCTTTTCATCGTACCAACTTTCTTTTTTATGGAAGATTTCTTCTTTTGAAATATCAAAACTGTCGTACAGGAGGAATCATTAGAATATTAATCTATAGTGAAGTGGCGCCGTGATGCCAAACCGGATGTGTGCGCTTTTGTCAATGGTGAGGACTATGCGTTTTGCACTATACCACTGCTAATCTTTAGCGCCGTCCGCGTTCCATTTCACGACGATAGTACAGTTCACTTGCAGGAGTTCACATTACAATAGAACGTTCACATGCTCACATTCCTAGTTATTTACACAGTATCGAACTAACAAAACATCTCGTATATAGCAACATGCAGTCGTTCATCGCCCTAGCACGGTGGTCTAGTGGCTAATGTACTCGGCTGCTGACCGCAGGTCGCGGGATCGAATTCCGGCTCTTTACGCCGAGAGGCAAAGCTCTTTACGCCGAGGGTCGTACGTCCCGTGTCGCCGTAGTGGTCACCTCTGGGTTAGTCCTTAGAATGCCCGCAGGATGGCGATACTTGTATATGATGAATTTGATAGAGATGCGAGATTGTGGTACTTCACTGAATGGACGGCTGAACGGACGGACAGACAGACAGATGCACGGACTGACACATGGATGCTTCGCCTTACTCTTCGTCGTTCACTCCGAGGATATGATTTGATTTTTTTTTCAGTGAAAGTGATTCAGATCTCATAGTTGGTTTTACAGAAAGTGCATTTTTTTTTCACTGTCAAGAACTTCAAGTGGGACATTGGGCAGATAAATTGCAAGGGCTATTCCCCCTAGGCACAGGGGCACACCTCGCCCGCCCCCTGTCGCATAAATGATGGGGGAGTTCAGAGGTGTCACCCCCCTGACCCTTCCCCAAGATTCACGCCACTGTTTGGGATACAGCACTCTTTAGCGACTACAATGTTAATGATAGATTAAATGGGCCCTGCAACACTTTTTGAGCATGGTCAGAAAGCGCTGCCGATCGGTAGTAGAGGCTCCTGACAATACGCGAGCCAAATATTATAGCTCAGCATGGGACCTGGAATTCACAATCACTTATCAAAGTCAGCTGAAAATTGCTTTTTTTTTCTCTCGCAAATCAGCGGAATAAGCTCGAAAATCAGTCGTAGTAAGACCATATATCAGCCATTGGCTGATTTAAACAGTGGCGCGCTAGGTCGTTACAGAGATATCCGCGGGAGGTTGCGACTTGTCCACGCGTGCGCAGACACTAGAAAAGCCGCGCATTTGAAAATAAAAATAAAAAAGTGCTCAAGGTCACGAGGCGCGCGTGAGGTTTTTCTTTGTGCCTGACATCTCTCCCTGCTTAGCTTCTAGCGCTTTCGTCTGGATGAACGAAGAGAGAATGTAATCGCAGCATGCGGCGAATCTTCGTAACTCCTCTCGCACTGGACGGATTTCAAAAATTTTGCACCGTTTAATTTGTGAGGCAATACGTTATTCCAGAGAGTTCATTTCATAGTTACTTGAAAAAAGTGTTTCAGGGCTCTTTTAAGTCCCAAATCACACCCTCATACTCTTGCCAGAAAAAAAAATGGCGCCATATCCACGCAGCGAATGATGATAAGAGGGCGAAGCTCGAGATGAGGAGGTAATCGGTAAACCGTAACTTTCCCGTTAATGTTAGCCATTACATAATTAGAAAGACGTAAGACTGTGCGTATATAATACAAATGAAGATTTATTTTGAGTTACTCGCAGCCGTTTGCAAACGCAGCTGTGCAATGCCAACACACACACCTGCAAATCTAGCTGACAGGCAGAGACCGTGTTGGCTCCGCGTGAAAGTTATCCCATTACATCATTAGAAAGACGTATGACTGTGTATATATTATACAAAGAAACTTTTGTTTGGTTCTTGTTCTTGTTCGCAAACGTGCTTTATGGTCAGTGAAGTGGTGGATCGGGCATGGGGCGTAAGGGGATGTTTGCAAGGGCGAAGTAGTGAGCAGTTTCCAGAGGTGCTTACGAACCAGTCTCAGAGGAAGGGCAGACCCACGGTTTTTGGAGATTCGCCCCTAAAAGAAAAACATGGGATCACCATGACAGGCACACACATTTATTAGCGTTTTACAAATTCGATGTGCTCCGCCGCGGTAGGTCTAGTGGCTAAGGTACTCGCCGGCTGACCCGCAGGTCGTGGGATCAAGTCTCGGCTGTGGCGGCGGCATTGCCGATGGAGGCAGGAAACGTTGTAGGCCCGTGTGCTCAGATTTGGGTGCACGGTAAAGAACCCCAGGTGGTCGAAATTTCCAGAGCCCTCCACTATGGTGTCTCTCATAATCAGTAGTGTGGTTTGGGGCGTTAAACCTTACATATCAATCAATCCACAAATGCGATATTTCAAAAACGATATTATTACAAATGTGATGCAACGTTCGGTAGTGACGTTAAATCAGATTGAGGATCCTGTTCTAGATTTGTATTTCAGAGACAGACTTGCATTTGAGATCATTAGTTGCTAAGCTACTGCGGCGGAGTGCAAGAAAACTGGGAGTTTTTCGCCGCGAGAACCACCGACCAGTGAATCTTCTAGCACCTGACTGTATGTGAATTGGCTGGTGAGATCGCGTAAGGATCACAAATCTGCTGCTAGATTACAACTACGCACATTTACACATCTCGAGGTCATCACAATTGACATGATCATCATCATCATCGTCATCATCAATCTTATTATTGTGTTCACATAAAACCATGGTATCGTGGCCTGTACTAGGCTTACTACTTCTATTATTTCTACGATTGCGATGACGGCAAAGAATAGTCTAAGAATAGTAAGTCTGCTTCGCTTTAAGAACGTCTGTCGTCATGTTCTTTATTCGGTATATCATTAGCAATACATTAGCTGTGCACTGATTTGCAATTCTGTTTTGTGAATATTTTTACGGAGAGAGACAAACATGATGGGTGCAATTTTCTGCTTATTTGTTCTTTTTCTAATTCAGGAGCAGCTGGAAGCTTACCTGAGCAACCTGGTCATGGTTCCGGCCTACCGGATGAACCCGCATACGGTGAGAGACACCAGCGCGCAACAGCCTGCCCTCTCTAGGTACAGTTACGGTATAAACTGCAGGATGGAATCCTAAACTGCCCATACGCAGAAGGCCTAAACTGCGTTACGCGTAAGGCTTCTAAACTGCATTCACAGTAAATAAATTCTTACTGTATGAACGAGATCTAACAGACAGTAAGATCAACAGGCAGGTAAGAAGTGTTTCACACTCGTCATCAAGGCTACTCATCAAGGCTACTCATCAAGCCTACTACATCAAGGCGATCGTGCAGCCTAACACGATCGAACTGGTGGCGCTGACTGACCATACCACCAAGAGTACCTCGATGAGCGCGCCCCCGTCATTCAAATGGGTCCCTCTTTGAAAGTGTCGACCCCACCTCACCGCTCGCATCCGCCATGTTTTGGCTCACACCGCACTTGTTTAAACGTGCACGCTGCTCCTGCCGTCTTGTCACCCGCCTGAATCATCGCAAGTCCCACAAGATGACTGCATTCTGCGTGCCACACAGCGCACGAGCCATTCTAGAAATGGATGGAAGAAGTTTTCTTTCCCAAGCGATTCTCGAACAAAACTTCTGTTGAGAGTGAGAATAGATAGTGACAAGCAGCTGCTGACAAATGCCTCTTGTGCACGCAGCGTGAATACTGCAAGCTTTGTTGCCGCTTCCTGTGACGTTTCGTTTTTTCTACGTCGGGGACTTTGGGTATGATTTTCGAATTGGCGTGTATACTACTAGTAACACAGTGACAAAATAGAGTATTACATGTTATGTGTGTGTGGTTTTGACTTTGTCTGTGTGCGCGTACTTGTTGCACCTGTTGTGCCTCGCCCAAGTTCCACGTGGTCTTCGCGGCCTGCTGGCACCTGGCAGCTGTTGATGAGTCAACCCTGCACCGGGACGGCGACGGACGCGGACAATCGGGAAAAACCACGTCGCCGGCTCCTCTTGACACAAAAGTCGTTGGCCAAGCTTTTGTCAGCCGCCGAGAGCGACACTCCGAAGCAGCGTCGACCCAGCAGCTGTACGGGGTATTCTGCCTTGCTTGAGTCAACCTGGCTGCATCAGGGAGCGACTTTGCGCATGGGATTCCACGTCATCTCACTGTGGTGCCACGCTGGCGCGTGGGGTCTCCCTCACCAAACAGCGAACTGGGCATGCCTTGCCCCCTTTCCTAGGTTCAGAGGGAGGCGGTGTTTGGCTTTCCCTCTTCGGGGACGGAGAGGAAGACGACGATCTCATTGGAGTATCCTGCGCATAAATTTTCTTTGCAAGGGATCTTGGGAAGGCGGACGATGTATAAAAACGCTAGCGCAGAGGCGCTCGTGTGTGATTCTCTTTTCATGTTGTACCACGCTACCAGGTAATTACTGTATATAAACATTTTTTTCTCCTTCTCCGGCTTCTCTACTCGTCCTCTCCGGGGACTCGGATGGCCCGAGTCCGCACCACGCTACCCAAAGGCGCAACAGTGGCTGGCAGCTTATGGGATTCGCCTGCGTCGGCTGCATCGAAGTGGTGAGTGCCGCGTGTTTGCTCCTCTTTTCGCCAGACTCGTTAGCGCAGATGGTCGGTAACGTGGTAGGGTGATTTTGGTAAATTTTGATTCCCAGACCAAGAATTGGGTGGCTCGTGGGCAAAATTACCTTAGAAGAGAAACGGTGTGCATATCTAAGATGGAGAAGTTTAAGGTCCAAGAACTCCTCGAAATTTGTCAGGAGCTGAATATTTCGGTCGGCTCGGTTAAAAGAAAACAACAAATTTTGGAGCACTTGGGAAAAGAGGAAGTGAGTTTAGAAGAGGCCATTGAGGCCAGAGAAACCATTTTGGCAAAGAAAGAGGAGCGTGAGCGCTTAGCCCGTGAACAGAGAGAGGAGGAAATAAGGAGGGATCGCGAGGATAAAGAACATGAAATCCGTCTGAAAGAACTGGAGCTTCGTATGTCCGTGGGAAATCGAAATTCAGGGGGTGGAGAATCAAAGATAAAGGATCTAATCCACACCTTCAAGGCGGGTGACGACATTGCATTATACCTCGTGCATTTTGAGCGAGCATGCGAAAATGCAGGGTTTAGTAGAGAGACTTGGCCACAAAAACTGATATGCGTACTACCAGGCGAAGTGTCCGATGTTATCGCAAGAATGAATAAAGAGGACTCCGAGGTGTATGACAGGGTAAAGGCTGCATTGCTACGAAAATGTCGCCTATCGACAGAGGCTTTCCGCCTGCGGTTCAGGCACTCTAAGAGGGGCAACGAATCTCATTCAGACTATGCCTACCAAATTAGAGCCAACTTTGAAGAGTGGCTCAAAAGCGCGCAAGTCTATGGCAACCATGACAAGGTCATTGAGTTGATGGTACTTGAGCAGTTTTACCGGGGAATTCCCGAGGAGGTAAGGCTTTGGGTGCAGGATAGGATGAAAGACGTAGACATGAACAGGGCAGCAGAACTCGCCGAAGATTACTGCTCACGCCGTAGTCTCCGCAGTACACCACGAACTTCGGAAAAAAATGAAAAGGTAGAAAGCTGGTCGGGAAACCAGGGACGCAAGAGGTTTGCAAGAAATAACTGGAAACCCGAGAATTCCAAGTTATTAGACAGTCAGCAGGGAAAGGACAGTGAGGGGACTAAGGCGGCACCTTCATCAGGTTCAAAGGCGCCTGGTGACATAGCGCATGCGTTAGAAGCGCGGAAGCCAGTTGTTTGCTACAGCTGCGGAGAAAAGGGCCACATGGCCAGGAGCTGTAAGAGGCACATGGCATTTGCCACAATTCAGGAGTCAGAGGATAGCTTAAAGCTGTTGAAGCCTTACATGAGGACACTCTCAGTGAACGGCCGAATGTGTAGGGTATTGAGGGACTCGGCGGCCACAATGGATGTAGCGCATCCAAGTTGCGTATCTTCCGAAGACTATATAGGAGAGTGTGCCTGGATTCGGCAGGTGGCAGAAAAGCAAAGCGTCTGCCTACCGATAGCGAGGGTTGTAATCGAGGGCCCTTTCGGCCAATTGTGTACGGAAGCAGCAATTTCAGCCAACCTTCCGGAGCACTTCCCTTACCTATTTTCAAATAAGTCTGAGGAAATGTTAAAAACACGTGGAGAATCATTTGCCACCGAAATAGCTTGCATGGCCCTTACCCGTTCGAAGGCGCGCGAGCTGACGCAACAGCTGAGCAGCTCACCCTCTGGGGAACAGACGTCCGAGGGCAGTGTAGGAAAACCTGAGGTAGTTGCGACGGAAAATGAGTCTGCCATGCGAGTTGTCGAGACGGAAACTGGGGCTATGGTCGACAACAGCGAGGAAATATCTCTAACGCCCGAAAACGAGGACTTGGTGACAGGCTCGGTGTTAACACCCGCGTCCACCAGTTGGTGTCAGCTAGCCAGAACCGACCGTGCAACGCTAGTGGTCGATCAAAAGGCGGATCTCGCACTCTCTATGCTGCTAGATGCCATACATAAGGAAGGTAACTCTAGGAAGAACGTTTCGTTCTACACCCAAAACGAGGTGTTGCATCGCAGGTATGAGAACGCTAAAGGGCGGGTCTACAACCAAGTGGTAGTTCCACTAAAATACCGGCGGAACATTCTCGACCTGGCCCACAGCAACGCCTGGGCGGGCCACTTAGGTATAAAGAAAACGAAAGCTAAGCTGGCTCAGGAGTTCTACTGGCCCGGGTGCTGGAGGGATGTAGAGATGTTTGTCCGTGAATGCGACACTTGTCAGCGGATAGGAAAATCAACAGACAAATGGAAGGCACCAATGAAACTAGTGCCCATAGTCACAGAACCCTTCCGTCGGCTCGTGATTGACATCGTGGGGCCTCTGCCTCCATCTAAATCAGGATATCGGTACGTCCTGACCGCGCTGTGCGTTGCCACCAAGTTCCCGGAGGCAATCGCACTGAAAGAGTTGAGTTCAGTATGCGTGGTGGACGCATTGTTGTCTATTTTTTCTCGGGTGGGTTTTCCCTCGGAGATACAGTGTGACAACGGAAGTGTGTTCACAAGCTGCCTTACGACTACATTCCTAGAACGCTGCGGGATAAAAATCGCGCATAGCTCTATTCACCATCCACAGTCGAACCCTGTGGAACGCATGCACTCGGTCATGAAACGCGTTTTGCGAGCTTTGTGCTTTGAGCATAAAAGTGACTGGGAGGGGTGTATACCAGCTGCGATGTTTTCTCTGAGGTCGGCCCCACACGAGAGTACGGGTTTTAGTCCGGCTGAACTTGTCTACGGCAGGAACTTGAGAGGTCCGCTGCACTTGATACGAGAGTCATGGACTGGATGTGGGGAGGACCCTAATGTGGTTTCCTATGTACTGGATTTATTGGGGCGACTGGGGACTACACGCGAAGTGGTGGAGAGCAACATGCGCGCAGCACAGGCACTTTCCAAGGCCCGTTACGATAAGTCAGCTCGAAAGCGAGTCTTTAGAGTGGGCGATGAGGTGATGCTGTTGTGCCCTTCAAGAAAAAACAAGCTGGACGTACAATGGGAGGGACCAGCGACAGTGATGTCAGTGCTTTCAGACACCAACTACGAGGTAAAGTGGGGCCGGAAATGCCCCAAAGTGTATCACAGTAACCTAATGAAACCCTACATGCGACGAAAAGCAGTAGTAAACCTTGCACTCAATGTTCCTGAGGATGAGGGCGCGGAAATCCTTTGTCTTTCCGATGGCACGGTCAGCAGCACATTGTCAGATAGGGTAGACACAGGGAACACCCTAAGTAAGGCTCAAGAGGAAGATTTAGAGCTTTTAGTACAGGAATTCGCTACCGTTTTCTCCGAGAAGCCAGGCAAAACGGATGTGATTAAGCACGACATTGAGCTGACGGTTAACAAGCCGATCAGCTGTAAGCCGTATCGGGTGTCACCTAGACAGAGAGAGATACTAGAGGCCGAAATTCGCCGCATGATCGACCTAGGTGTTATCATCGAAGCAGACAGTGATTTCACCTCGCCTTTGATTTTGGTTGAGATTCC